GCCTCCACCTGCTTTTCACTTGGACAGCCAAGTCGCCGACACCTGATTCCTATCAGCCCCAAGATGTATGTGTGACTGGGACCCAATGAGCATTCACATGTGGGTTCAGTTCAGGGACTGGGTGTAGCTTGATTACCTGGTGGCCCGTCTCTGGAGCTCTGTGGGCAGGGAGCCCCTTAGCTGTGCCTGAGGGGGCATCCAGCTGGTTCAGAGCTGGGGTCTGGCCCAGCAGGGAGGGGTTGGGGACATAGGGGAAGGTTCAGTGAAGGCTGGAAAACTAGGCAACCTTTGCCAGACAAAAGCACCCAAGGTGGCACTGGGTGAAGTGGTGGGGGCAGGACCCACTGAGGCAGGGAGCCTAGAACAGGTAGAAGGCACAGCTGAGGGATAAGCAAGGGGGGGCATCCAGGTGAGTGGGGTGTGGGGCTGGGAGGAGGAGGAGCAGGTAGGCAGTCCCTGGGTAGACAGAGCCAGCCGGGAGTGAGCAGTGGATAGTAGAAGCGGGGGTGTATATATAGAGCTGGACTTTCATAGGACGTGGGGCAGTGTGTGGCAGTCTGTACCCACTAAGTGTCAGCCACTGTCACCTTCACTGCTGCAGAGGTTGCCAGCCCCCTACCACTGCCTGGACCTTTTACAATGAAGTAGTCTGCGGGGTGCTGGCCTGCCTGCCAGGTCTTTCCTACCTCCACCTTGTTTGAGGCAAGCTGGGTATGCGCCTTACACCCACTTGACTCACGGGAGCTCTGGTATCAGAGAAGTCTACAGTTTGAGGCAGCAGGAAGTTCTCCCATCAGAACATGCCCCTCAGTGAGGCCACACCCACACCCACCTCAGAAGCTTCCATAAGCCCCAGAGGCCTTGGTGGGGGAGTGGGCAGGCAGAGATAGTCAGAAGCTGGGGGACAGGCCTGGGAGTGGGGGCAGGGCACAGCCAAGGGCAGGGCTGCCTCTACACTGGAAACTGAAGTCTGGGCTGCCTCCCTCTTCCTGGATTTACACCCTGACCACCTGTGTCAACAGTGGGCACTCTAGAGTGCTTCCCATGTGTCAGTTACCGTGCCAAGCACTTTTTCCATGTGGGCTCATATCATTTTCATGACAGCTCTGGGTGGTGCACACTGTGCAATTCTCAGTACGTGATGAGGAAACAGTCTCTGAGAGAGCTAAGCAACAACCCTAGCAGATGTGGAACCTCCAAGCTGGCCCCAAGGCCAAAGTCCTCACCTCTCCTCTGGGTCTGGGCACCCTCTGTCCATGCACTGACTGCTGTTCAAGAGAATCATGGACTCAGGGCTGGATCTAGATTCTGGCCATCAGTGGGAGCATTTATGAAGAGGGCCCTTAAGGTACAGAGGGACAGGTAAGGCTTTTGGGGCACCGTCCCTATAAACCCATGGCCCTCTCAAGACTAGTCCCTATTTGTTCTAAGTATTGAACACCCATTGAGCGGTGCAGGGAGTGAGCTAGAAGGGCCCAGGACGAAGTTCCTGAGCTCCCTTTCTGACTCAGTGTCCTTATCCACATCAGCATCAGCTCTCAGTGAAGACCAGGCAGAGGCTCAGACAGAGCTGGGGCTACAGGCCACTCTAGCTGGGGTCACTGAGGTGAGGGTCAGGTACTCTGTTCTCCTGAGGGCCCCTCCAGCCTCCAGGGCTGGCTATAGGTTCTGCTACTTTGGATGAGGAGACAGGAGCCTGGAATGGCTGCTGAGCCTCAGGCCTGCTCTGAGATTGGCAGTTCCTTCTGGAAGCCTTGGGTTATTGGGTTGAGCCAGTGAGGGGGATCTGGGTGGTCGTGCCTGAATGCAGGGTCCTCCAGCCTTGGCTGAGCCACCTGTTTCGATTCAGAACCCACATATCAAGAAGGCCTTGGCTCATGGGATTATGTGAAGGGCCTTGTACTGGGAGACTTCCTTAGATTGTTTGATGGTCCCCAAAAGATGGCAAGAGTCCTCAAGAGGAGGAGGAGGTAGGAGAGGAGGTCAGGAGGGCTGTGAGGATGGAGGTGCATCTGCAAGGGCTGCGTGCTCTGAACCTGGAGGAAAGGCCCCAGATGTGAGGAAAGGCTCAGCGAGGAGTCTTTCCATCAGGCCTCTAGAGAATGCAGCCATGAAGACACTGACACCTGGCACTCCGTGAGCTCAGGTGCCAAGTTTCTGACCTACAGCCCGTAATGTGTTTGTGTGAGATGGTGGCAGCTTGTGAACAGCAGCCACAGAGAACTAATGTACATCCATCCTGAGCTGGTTTTGCGGGGAAAGAATTTGATTTACCACCTCTGGTGGTCAGCATCTCAGCTTCCTGCTGGAGGAGGCCTGGGGCTGTTGGAACTGACATACATCTGGGCTGGGCCTCAACTGTCACATGGGAAGTCCCCTTGACCTTCAAAGCCTAGCTGTAACAGGAATGTTCCCTTTGTTCTGAGTCCTTTACCCTAACGTTAACCCTAACCTTCCTGGGTGGCTGGATGCAAACCCCAGGTAGGCAGGCACTTGACCCCCAGGGCCTCACCTCCCCAGTGTTTGGGAGGGGTCTCTATCCCCCTCCAAAAGGACAAGGACAAGGTCACTGTTGGGGTAGGACCCTGCTGTCCCTGTAGGGATGAAACCACCCCTATCCTGTGAGCTCAGCCCTCTTTTCTCCCATGATTACCACTAGGTCAGTTGGCCTCTCCTGCCCTAGCTGGTGTTGCCAGGAGTGGGGTTCTGACCCTGGAAAGCCACCAGTACCTTCCTATAAGTGATGTTGCAGGTTTGTCCGAGGTTGTGCCACCTCTAAGCTGAGACTCTTCTAGGCAAAATGTCATAGCAAAGAGCAGGCATCTCCCAGGAGGGAGCGAGAGGCTCAGAGATGGACGTGCTGCCTGGGCTTTAAAGTCTCTGTGTTGTTTCTTCTGGTCTTTTGTGTCTCTCCTGGCTCTGGGCCACACTGAGAGGTGAGGCAGCAGATAACTGACCTACAGGCATCGAAGGGATGGGACCTGTGTAGCCGGAACACAGAATCATTCTAGATTCAAACAGCTGGAGGGGTGTGTGTGTGTGTGTGTGTGTGTGTGTGTGTGTTTATATGTATGTATGTGTAGTTTCTATCTTGCATCTCTATTGAGGAGCCCATTATGAGAAGCCTGGTTCTGAGCCAGTGCCAGAGAGGCATGTGGCCCTGGGTACTCAAAGGAAGAGGAGGCTCTTGAGGCCTGAGGCTACATCTGCTCCAGATGTGTGTGTACCACAGAGAGCTGGGGTTAGGAGTGGGGTGGGAAGTGGGGGGCAGAGCTGGTTTTGGTATCATTCACTTCCTGAGGGAGCCTCCTCTGCCTCTAGCCTTCCCACCCACTCTAAAACAAACACCATCCACAATGGCCTCTGGGCGGAAGGAACCTGAGGGGGCCATCTTGACAGTTATGTGACCACAGGAATGCCAGTGAACCCTGCAAACTCAGCACCCCCACCCTGCCTTTTCTCACACCACACTGTCATCTCTGTCCTCTGGTGGAGAGCTGGTCAGTTCAGGGTCACAGGCACAGCCCGAGGAGCCAGGTGGCTCGGGGTCTGGTCTATCATAGAACTCCCAGTGCCTCAGTTTCCTCATTTGCTGCCAGGCCCCTCTCATTCACCTGCCCTTTCTCCTTCTGTCTTGGGATTCCAAAGGGCCCAAGCTGTCCCCAGCCACCAGGTCTCTAAGCACAGTGTACTGGGGCTTTCTTTCTGAGGCTAACAGCATCACTGTGACTCACGTCTGCCTCCCCTCCCTGTCTAGCTGGCTCTCCACACAAAGCCTGGCTCTGAATGTGACGCCCAGGTATGTCTGACCAGCATAAAGCAAAATGGGGAACATCACTTCCATTATTCTCTAGACCTTGCCTCTACTAGCATAGCCCGGGAGCTAACACCCTACCTCACTGGAGGCCCAAAGTCTAAGAACACCCTAAATCTTTGCCACAGAGTCCTATTTCAGGAAGTGCCAAGAATTCATGAACTTTTGAGCTGGGGCCTCCAATCAGGATTCTAAAACGAAGTGACTTGTGTGGGATCTTCAGGCTCTCATCTCCTGGGCCCATGTGGCCACGGTCCCTAACGGTACTCAGTTATACAGGGTAATAAGTGGCACTGGGCAAGCCAGGGGTCCCCAGAGAGCCTCAGTTTCTTCCTCTGAGAAACAGGGACTCTTCTGCCAAATCCTATAGCCGCCAAGGTGCATGTGAGCCCGACAGTGCCTCCAAGCAGGCTGTGAGAACTCTGGAGGCAGGCAACTGGCACAGCCCACGGGCCAGCAACCTAGAAGCAGGTGTGGGGGACGGAAATGCACAGGCAGAGCCCTGATCCAGTCTACCTGCTGGGAAGAGTGGTCATGTTTTCCTTTCCTTTTCTTTCTCCTTTTGCTGGCCCAGGGGCAGCCTGGCCAGCAGGCCTCTCCTGACCCCCTGAGAACAAGGTTGGAGGATCATGCTGTACAGAACTCCCTCCCTCCAGGGGCTGCTGAGTCTCAGCATGGCTTTGCTGACTCTGGAACCCTGATGCACATGTGCGTGTCTACTGCGAGGGAAGGAGGCTTATTCATGGTAAGCATCTCCTCACATACTCATGGGTGCTGGGTTCTTTGCTACAAATACACAAAGAAATAAATGTGTCTGATGGAGGATAAAAATTTAAAAAAGGAAAAAGTGTTCCCACCTGGAGTAGCACCTCCCCATTCACATACCACACACGTCTGTGCATACCTGAACAGACTTCATACCACACGGATGTATACCTGCATGCTCACACACCTATACACTAGCACATATATAGGCTGACACAGCAGCATATATCCCCACCACTATCCATACACACACATCAATATACAGATTCCCATGCCAACATGTACATGTATTCCCACACGCCCCACAGACAGTGCGTACACATAGCCCCCCAAGCCGGCACCCCCAGGCCAGCATCCATCCACACTCACCCACACACCCGATAGGGCAAAGAGGACAAAGGAATTGGAAGAAAAGTGTTACCCATGAGAAGCCGCCGTTTCACCCGCTTGTCCACATCAGCTACTGACGTGGCATTGAACTGAGAGCGCTCAATTGCAGCCTCATCCTTCTCTAGAACACAAGTAAGGGACAAACATGGAGCCGGTGGTTAATGAGAGCCCACATCCCGCGGCCCAAGACAGTCAGCCTCTTGGCGTGGCGCATACAAAGCCAACACAGCATGCCGGGCCAGCACGGCGCCCTCGCCAAGGGCTAGTCCCAGGAACTTCCAGGCGAGTGTGCTCAGGGCAAAGCAGAGAGGCAGCGAGGGCAGGGGGGTGGGAGGGTGGCATGCAGACAAGGAAGGTGGTCACGACACAACTTGGACACAAGGGTAGGGGGGACACATGGCTTGTGTGCAGACAAGCAGGTGGCTAAGGTCAGAGCAGGAGGCCTGTGAGGAGGACACAGAGGCAGACAGCACGCCATGGGCTCATAAAAAGAAGCAGTTACAGGCCCTGGTGGCTCAGGCAGGTACAGGACAAAGCACGGGACAAGGGGACAGGGTTGCGAGGTCCGGTGATGGATGTGCCCAGGACAGCAGATGCCCTGTTACAAGGATGCTATCACTCATGCAGAATTAAGAACAAACCACACAGAAGGACAACACAGATACACACACATAGAACGCTGGATCCCATTGGACAGACAGAAAAACCAGGGGACAGCGCTGGTTGCCTGCTTGTCTAGAGGACCAGAGCTAAACATTCAAGTGCTTGACAAGGGATTGCAGAGAGGGGTCAGTGTTTTTAGGAGCGTGCAGGAGAAACATGGCCTGGGCCGCTCAGGGAGCCTCCAGCCACTTGGCACCAAGCTGTGCCAAGATGCTTAGCAGGGCTGGTGACAGTGAGCAAAGTTGGACAGAAGATTTTCTATCCTAGCCAGGAGTGGAAGCCATGGTGGCCAGAGCTAGGTAGGAGGATGGTTTTTAATGAGATGGGAGGGGAAGCGTGGGTTTGGGGAGCGAGATCCAAGCAGGGACTGTGACATGCAGCAGACATTAAAAAATAAAAAGAAGGCTAAGGCAGAGAGTGAGGAGGACACAGACAAGAGGGGTTAGACCCAGGCTGGGGTGTGTCTGCCCAGCAGCTGTCTGTGCTGGTCCAGCGGCCACAGGGCAGGCTCTACTGGACATGGCAAATCCCGGCAGACTTAAGCAGACAAGACAGAGGGGAGGCCAGGGTGGCCCAAGGGAGCTCTGGGCAGGACAGGAAAGAGGCCAGAGGACAGAAGGTTCTAGATGGGATTAGGCTGCAATAGAGACACTGGTTGGTCTGAGACCTGGTTTGGCTTTTAATTTTTTTTTTTTTAATTGGTTGGTTTGTTTTTGGCTTTTGGCTTTGAAAAATGATTAATGAACATCAGTTATCAGACAAGACAGGCAATCAGGGGCCATCACCAGAAAAGCAGCAGGGATGAGGTAAAATGAAATTAAAAATGGCTGCTGAGAAAAGAGACCACACAGAGGAGGGGAGAGCCACCACAGGCAGCAGGACCACAGTTCCGACTACAGAGGGATGGCCTGGGACCCCTGCCCGGCCTAGCACCCAGCTCCCCGAGATGCCAGGGAACAGCGACAGGAAACAGGGTAAGACAGCAGCTTTGGGCCTTGTGTGCTTCCATGGACTCACCAAACCCCTTTCTGTTACTCAAAAGCCTCAAGTTGACTATGAGAAACGGGACCTTTTCAGAGAAGCAACACCCACCTTCACCAACTCATGTTGGGTTCTACAGCACCAGCAGGGGGCAGAGCAAAAGGACACTGGGCTGCAACTCTGAAATCCCTCTTTTTCTTACTTAAAAAATCTCTCTGTTGTTTTTGAATAGGAGGGAGGGGGAAAAACAAAACAAAACAAAAAACTCCAGGTGATCATAGCATAAAATAGTCACAAATGTTCAAGCTACCCTTGGACACACGGGCCTGGCAGAAGGAGGTGGCCGATTCTGAATCAGACTCACGTAGCAGGCAGGTGATGGGGTGGGAACGTTGCTGCATGGGGGTGGGGGGTGGGGGGGACTTCAGCTGGGGAAGGAAGTCCTGGGGGGAGCCGGCCAGCTCAGAAGGAGAAGCGATCTCAAGCACATACCGCCCCCCCGCCCCACGCCGGGTGCAAACCTCCACCCTCACAGTAAGCCTCGTTCTGAGGAAATTGTTTCCACACAGCTATGAGCTACAATGAGCACAGAGCTACAAGCGCTCTTGCAGACACACTGAGGCGGCTGAGGGTTTCCACATTAGGAAATAACCAGGGCCTCAGGGGCAGATGGTACCCCTGAGCTGAAGCACACTGCCCCAGACAACCCCTCACGTGGAGGACGAGGATGGCCTAATCCCATTAGGGAGACCTGAGCTAAGCATCCCCAGGAAACTTGGCTTCCAGAGGACTGAGGGACCCAGGATAAATCTTCACAAAAGCTGCCCTTTGGATGTCTGCCATCCCCATCTACACTGTGGGGACTTCCTCTTCTGATCACTCATCTACTTCTTCCTGGACAGGGGGACGCACAGGGCACCTGCAGGGACAGGACGTCGCAAGGTGGTGCCGCGTTGTGGCGCCTACTTACCAATGCATGTCCGTCCATCAGCGTGGAGGGCGTACTTCTGGTGACAGCCACACATAGGACCCGTGTCTGTGTCCTCACAGCTGTGCTGGCAGCCTCCGTTTCCATAGTTACAGGTTACTAGTTAGTCCCAAAGTGTATACACGTGTGTATAAACAGAACGACAACAGAAATGGTTAGTTTGTTGTGTTGGCTGTTTCTTTTCAGGGGAGGAAAGCAAGACCCAAAGCAGCCAGTGTCCAGTGCTGTGAGGCTTGAGGGCCGCAGACACACTTCCCTGCCTTCGAGCTGCTAGTTTCTAGAGGTGAATGAGACGGATTCTCTGATGTACCCAGAGGGTGGCAGTGGGGGAAAAAGAGAGGGCTGGACACATGCAGACATTTAACACCACCTGTCTCATTGGAGCAAATGCCTGTTGACATCAAGACATACTGGGCCAGTTGTGGGGGAGACGGCACATGGTTCAAGGTGACATTCATTTTCTTAGTTCTTACAGAGCTTTGGTCTCTGCCTGGGTCTTGGTGCATGTGGAGGGATGTCTCCATGGATGCCACCCTGTGTCCTAGCTGTCAGCTGTCTCAAGCTCTGTCACCTCACAGCCCACATCCTCCTGGAGCTCAGCAGTGCCCAGACAGAATTTAACCAAGTTAATACCATCTGGGGTGCAGTACTGAGAGTCAAATGAACAACATTCTGTGGCTGGTGGTGACACCTGTGCCTGGAGGATCTGGGGCCCTTCAGCCCAGATGTTCCACAGGAGCAGCAGCCTGCGTCCACTGAAAAGGGCTGAGAAAAAGGAACCAGTCTGAAGCAGGGAAAGACAAATTCAAGTTTATTCAAGAGAAGATACACTGCTGCTTTCTAGAGAGAGACAGATTGCCAGAAGAGAAGGTCCGAGATCTCTCTGAGGGGCCCTTGGAGCCCCTGCTTTACTGTGCAGGGAGCTGGCTGCCAAGTGACTGTCACCTGAGCACAAACGGCCTGCCAGACCTGGAAGACTTGGACTGCTTATCCGCTCTCTGTCCACATGCTCAATGTACTTGGCAAATCCTAGTGATGACCGAATGTTTAAAGTCAGTCTTAGGCCAGGCCTGGTCAGAGGAGCCCCAAATGCCAGATCTGAGAGTATGAACATGATCTATTAGGTAGATCCGTTCAGACGATGGGCAGCAGAGGGAAGTCACTGGTGGCAACCTCCTTGGTCTCAGAACTGACTTCTGCAGCCGTGCTTCTCAGCGCTCCCTCCTTATGAAGGAATCACCGTGAGTCTTCTGGGCTCCCCGTCCCAAGAGATGGGCCTTGGACACACGCAGTCTCCATAGTAGCTGAGAACAGGAAGAATATGACAAGGACAGATGTCTGCCCGGCATGCGCTATCATCCTTAGCAGCTGGAACCTCAGCAGTGTCCTCTTAGATCCAACTTCTAGGGGGACGTTTGCACAACCTTCGGTCCGTCTTCCATGGGAACGCCTCTCCTTTCCACTCAGGTGTGATGGCGGTGGTTGGGAAGCTGGCATTCCCCGGCCCAGTCTTCCTTCTTGGGGCAGCTCTTTTCTGACTCATGGATACCCAGGGCTCAGGAGCAGGGCCTGCATAGGTCCCTGGAGGATGGGAAGAGCCCCAGGCAGAGCTAATCCTGGGTTGGCTGTTGTATACCCCTTCTGAGTGGGCACAGGGACAGCTGGGGACAAGGAAGTGCAAATATCACAGATGGCTCCCCCCCAACCTCTACACACTGGGCTCTGGGAAGACCAAGAGGGATGGCTAAATGTCTTCACTTCCGGAGGAGGTCCTGGAGGGATGAGGGAGTTGGGTGTGGAATGCTGCAGCCTCTCCCCGCCAGTCCCGAGAGGTTACTAGGCCTGGCCTCTGCTCCTGACCAATGCTAGAGCCCAAGATTCTTGGACTATGAGTGATACTCAGGGCCAGAGCAGCTCTCCAAGCCTTCTTTGGTGTTGGTTGACTTCCACCATGTTTGACCCAGGGTCTCTTCTTGTTTGCCACTGCATACGTCAGGCTAGCTGACCCTTGAGCTTCTAGGAATTCTCCTGTCTCCACATCTCATTTCACTGCAGGCACATGGAGGCTATAGAAACATGCTATGGGGTCCAGCTTTATGCGTGTTCTGGGAATTTGACGCCAGGCCTTCATGCTTGCACAGCAAGGGCTTTTACCTACTGCCTCAGCCCTCTACGCCATCTTAAAGGTTATTTATTTATTTTTTAATTTTTTTATTTTATGTGTGTATTGCTTGCATGTAGGTAAGTGCACCTGTGTCATGCAATGCCCGTGGAAGTCAGAAGAGGCTGTCGGATCCCCTGGGACTAGAGTTACAGACAGTTGTTAGCTGCCATGTGGGTGCTGGGATTTGAACTTGGGTCTTCTGCAAGAACAACCAGTGTTCTTAACCGCTGAGCCGTCTCTCCAGCCCCAGTTTATTTATTTTTATTTTATGTGTTTCAGTGTTTTGCCTGCATGGATGTAAGTGCAACATGTGTATGTAATGCCTGCAGAGGCCAGAGGAGGGCATCAGATCCCCTGGAACTGGAGTTACATTTACTGTTAGCTGCCAGGTGGGTGCTGGGAACCAAACCTGGGTCCTCTGCAAGAGCAGCAAGTGCTCTTAACTGCTGAGCCATCTCTCTAGCCCCCGTCTTTTAAAAAATATTTTATTTATTTTATGTGTACGCGTGTATTGTCTGCATGTGTGTAAGTACACCTGTGTTGTGCAAGGCCCATGGAGTCAGAAGAGGGTGTCAGATCCCCTGGAACTGGAGTTATGGACGGTTGTTAGCTGCCATGTGGATGCTGGGAACTGAACCTAGGTCCTCTGTGAGAGCAGCCAGTGCTCTTAACTGCTGAGCCATCTGTCTAATCCTTTAGCCTCCTGCTAAGCCATCTTTTAAAAAATTTATTTACTATTTTTATTTTATATGTATCAGTGTATTGCCTGCATGTGTGTAAGTATACCTGTGCCATGCAGTGCCTACAGAGGTCAGAAGAGGGCATCAGATCCCCTGGCACTGGAGTTACAGATAGTTGTTAGCTGCTACCTCTCTAGCCCCCCTCTAAACCATCTCTCTAGCCCCTCTAAGCCATCTTTAACCCTGCCTCACAAACCACAGAGAAGGAGCCAAGGCCAGACCAGCTGGGAAGACCTTCCTGGGAGGCCACAGGACTGTCCTGACTCTTTGGTCCAGGATATAGAATCAGGTTTTCCACATCTTGACAGGGAGGGTGGGGCTGTGGATCTTTGGACCAGTAAATGTTCCCAGGCCTGGGTGTAGCCCTTTCCTGACCCTACAGAAGTTAGAGTAGGGTCTTAGCTCTTCATAGACTCTGTCTTGTCTCTGACCCTTCCAGCCACACCTGACCCTCAGGAGCAGCTCTGTGGGAAAACCTTCCCATGTGGCACTTGTCCCAGAAGGATTACAGAATTATGTGATGAGTTGGCCCAGCCAGGACACTGGCAGCCCTCTCTCCAGAAGGCAGCTCAGGGCCTAGCGTTGAGCAAGCACACAGCCTGTTTTTAGAGGCTATGCTTGCCTACATGCTGTGCCCGTTTCTGTCGGCACCCAGCAGGAGGAATGGGAGAGCTGGCGTTGACCCTTCTGCTCCGAAAGTGGCCAGAGCAGCCCGTGTTTTCTCCGTGGTTAAAGAATCCCTCTATAGTAGTGCAGTAGGGGGCCAGGCTAGGGCCTGGGCTATGTCTGTTTGTCTTGCCTTGGTGACATGAGCATGCATGTCTTTGCTGTTCCATGGGAAAGAGCCTGGAGCAACTAGGAAGGCTGGGTCCCATCCTGACCATAGCCAGATGTTGTAGAATGCCATCCACCGAGCTTAGTAGCTGTTATCATCTTCATCAGGGCGGGTGTGACTCCTCAGGAGGCATCCTGAGGATCATCAGGCCTTTAACTGTTTACTTTCTCTCATAGAAGGAAGGAAAGGTCATTGGACCCTCACCAGAGAGTCCAGCCTCTGTCTCCTGTACCTCCCTGCCAACTGTATGCAATTCTGCCCCAGCTGAATGTGGTGATAGAGTTTATAGTGTGTTAGGTTAACTGATGGGGTAGCCTCCTGTCTATGCAGCCATGTCATCCATGCTGGGGTGAGACTTTCCAGTGGTGTGGCTGCTTTGAGGTCACCCATGCTTGGTATGAAAAAGCCCAGTACATTCATTGGTTTGACGCTGGACTTTGGTGGAAATGTACTTTGGTCATTGGCGTCCTATCTGGGGTTGTTTGGATCTCCCTATTCACACAACACCAGGGCAGAAGGAAATGTCTCCACTTTGGGGGATGGATGGATGGCACAGGGTACTGGAGCATGAGCTCCTGAGGGTAGGGACAGTGACAGGTGTGCGCAGGTCCCGAGGGCCTGGACAACTGTTCCAGGTGAGCCTGAGTGAGCTGAGAGGCTCACAGTGGCTGAGCATGGTGGGCTGGCTGTCTTCTGTTTTGTTATGGTGCTGCCAGTGGCCACCTCGGCAGCTTGGCCGGGTGGAGTGCTTCCTCTCGGAAAACCAGACCCCCTCGCCTCTGGCTGCTGTCTTTGCATCACAGCGTGTGACGGTTGAAGCTGCAGTGTGGCTGAGATGAACATGCTTACTGCAGTCCCTCATTTCTTGACAGACCCAGGATAAATATGACTTAACCTGGGTTTCCCTGTTCCTAGTGAGCAGAGCCCACATCCCATCAGCTGCTGGGAGGGTGCACTGGGTCCCATACTCTGGAAGCTTCTGAGTGTCTTTAGCTCTAAGTTTTCTTTCCCAGCTCCTCTCCTGCTGGGGGGCTGTATGCTCATGTTGGACTATGTTGAGTCCTGTGACAGGCCTTGAAATGTTTCTTCTGGCCTGCTGCCTTCTTCAGACCGGACAGGGGCCTCATGGCTTGCAGTTAGCCCTAAAGACGTCACTAAATTCTAGGTTTTTCTTAGAATCTCATGTAGCCCAGGCTGCCTTCAAACTTGCTACTTAGCTTAGGATAGACTTGAACTTCTGATCTTCCTGCCTCTACCTCCCAAGAGCTGAATTTACACATGTGTACCCCCACACCTAGTTTATAGGGTGCTGGGGTTTGAATCCAAAGCTTTATGTTAGGCAAGAGCTCTCTCTACCAAATGAGCCACATCTGAGGATTCTAATCTTTGAAGCTAGAAATAGCGTCAGCGCCACCTGGGCCCTCCCCTCCCCACACCCTCCCCTCCCCACACCTTCCCCTTTGTATCTTTATAGTCTTCTATCACTGAGGGTTTCCCAGGCCAATAGAGAAAGTGGGGCTTTTAGACCTCTGAGCCATCACTCTGCATCCCCATAGGAGAATTTGGGCTCAGGGCCTGACAGATGGTCCAGGCCAGTGCCTAGGGATGTGTTGACAGTGCCATGCTCAGGTACAGAAAACCTTAAGCCTAAAAGTCATGACCCCTGTCTCTCCAGCCTCCCCAGGTCCCTCAGCAGACCCTGCCCTTCTCCCACCCCAGGGTGCTGACCCTCTCTGACCAATGCCCAGCACCCCAGGCAAACCCTCATAAAGCAATGGCAGGGGGGTTTCTGACCCATTTGTCCCCATCTACCTACGTGTGCAGTCCTTCTGGTTTTGGGCAAGGTCAAAGCCGGGCCTGCAGTCACAGGCTACCCCACCTTTGGGCGTCTCCCGGCAGATGTGGGCACAGCCATGGTCCTTGTTCATGCAGTTCATACCCTCTGGGAAGAGAGACAGACAAGACAGGGGTTGGGGACTAGTGAGAGCAGAGGAGAGAAATCTTCAGGTTGCAGGGAGGCGACCAGTGGAAGGTTGCAATCCAGGGGAGGGTGTGCGAGTTCTGGTACTGCACATGTCACTCACATGTGCACACATGTGCACACACACACTCAACCAAGGTATGTTCCACCATGGTGCCTGGGTCCTGTGAGCTACACTCTAAATGACCCCTGGAGCCCAGAGAGACAGCTCCTGCCTGAGGTCAGATCAGAGGGTCAGGTGTATGGCACAGTTTCTAGTTAGGGCCATTTGACCCCTCCCCTCAGCCACCAGGGGCTTCAGGACACCTTCATCCCCACCCAGCAGACTCCAATTCCTCTCCCTGTCTGCCTGGAGTGGCTTGGACTTCCTTCCGCTGACCTCAGTTGATGTTTATCTTCTTGGTGATTTGTGAGTAGTTTCCAGAATTTATGAGGTCAGGGGTCAAGTGAGAGGTAGCAGGTCACTAGTCCAGCAAGAGGTCACAGGCAGATCAAAGGGAAGAGTGTCACTGGATGCTGCACATTGGCTCTGGGACTCAACCTCACCTCTGCCGCTGAGGAGCATGGCTAATGAGGTTTCCTTGGAGAGGAGAGGAAACCTCCAAGCCCACACAGGGTAGCCTTTCTTCCTCAGGGGACAAGAACATAACCTTGACCCTGTGCACTGTAACCATGATCCCTGAGTAACACAGGGTGTATTTAAAAGCACAGGTCTCTGGTAGTTAGAATACAGAAAAAATTGTCTTGGATTGGGAGAGTGCTTTGTCGCATGCTGGGAGCCACGGGTTCCTCCGCAGCACCAGTGCCATGCTAAAGACAAGAAAGAAAAGATGATAACGTTAACCCCCAAGATGGAAATGAAAGCTACACTTTGCTCAGCGCCTGGCTTCACCTGACTGTACTCTCGCCATTCCTTCCCCTCAATTTGCTCATTAAGTCAAGCCAAATGTAATTCAAGTCAAATTGCTTGCACAGGGCCTCACCCACTGACCCGTGACAAAACAGGCGAAGGGCGTTCACGCACTGCTCCTGGAAAGAAGCGCCAGGTCTCTTCAGTTTCCAAAAGCTCTGATAGGTGATGTGATGATTACTGTTTAAAGCCACTGGAAAGGGGCTGCAGAGTTGGCTCAGTGGTTAAGAGCACTGGCTGCTCTTGCAGAGGACCCACACCCAGCACCTACACATGGCAGCTTACAACTGTCTGGTTCAGTTCCCAGCACCCACACATGGCAGCTTACAACTATCTGTAACTCCAGTTCCAGGGAATCTGATGCTCTCTTCTCACCTCCATGTACACTGTACAACATGGGTGCACTTAACACACATGCAGGCAATATACTTGTACACATAAAATAAAAAAATAATTAAAAAAATAATAGCAGCACTTGCTAGGCCCTGGGTTCAGTCCTCAGCTCTGAAAAAAAAAAAAAAAAAAAAAAAAAAAAGTCGGGCTGGGGGGGGCCCCTTGGGGGGATTCAGAGGAATCTGTGGCTAAACAGGTCAGAGGCCATAAGGGAGAGCCTAAAACTATCATTCTGCTAAATAGGGTCTACATAGCAAGTTCCAGGCCAGCTGGGGCTACAGAGAGATCCTGTCTTAAAAGACCAATAAATAAATAAATAAATAAATAAATAAATAAATAAAACCAGTGGGAAGGGCAGCCACAGTCAATTTCTGCACAAACACTCCTCTCTGAGCTGATAGCCTGGTAGGTACCTGAAGAGGAGCTGGGTAGCTCTTGGGCTGATATGAATCAGCCCTGGCATGTGGCTTTCTTAGTAAAATCACTGTAGAGTCTAGCAGGTGTGGGCATGAACCTGGCTTCCCTATAAGCTGTGTGTCTTCCCTGAGTCTCACCTGTAAAATGGGCATGATACCTTCAGCCTTGAGGAGCAGAGGAGCAAATTAACTGAGGTCACAGGCAGGAGATATCAGCACCTCTGGGGACCCCGACATCTGATGTTGGGATCTGCCTCTGTAGATCTGGGGTTAGCAGCTTCCTGCTGGGCTCTGGCTGGCAGAGCACACATCAGAGGTGGCTTGGTGTTGGGGCAGGGGGCTTCATTGGTCATCAAAGCACATTTAATATCTTATCTGCCTGGTGAGGGTCTGGCTATCCTGAAGCCTGCCTAACTGTCATTAGTAACGGGTACTGTCAATAGACAGCTCAGCGCCCAGGTGACCCCTGTTCTCTACGGCTTCTGTACTTCCCCACTGTTTCTGCAGCATACCAACTTCTCTCCCTGTCCCTCCCCAACTGGGCACATATTCCTCACACTGCCTGCTGACTACCCCTCAGAGGTGCCCCACCCCGACTTCTCCTTCCTCCTGGGCTCTCCCTCAGTCCTTCATACATGGCCTCCCAGGCCTGTCTCCTGACTCTCACTTCTCCCCAAGGCTGTGTTCATTTCCCAGAACAGCCTCGTGCAGTACCCTAAGCAGATCTGCCCTTGTCTTTCCAGGCAGAGTTCTCAAACACTGTTTAACTCGTGCTTGTGTGAGATGAAGAAAGGGAGATTGAATTCCCATTTCCGGTCAAAGAATCACAATTTCCAAGAAACCCTGCTCATCGTGAGACAGTCAGGAGCTAAGGGGTTGCTGCCCTTGTTTGCAGGCAAGGGAGCTTCTAGGGGATGGTCCAGCCAATGGCAGTGGGGCTGTAGGAAGGGAGCAGAGAGCCATAGAGCTGGTCCCAGGGTGCAGCCAGCAAATTCCAAAGTCTTCCCCACAGCTGCAGGGTGTGTGCGGGTGGGGGGATGGGGGCGCTCAAGGGCCTAGGCACACTTAGCCTCAGGTCCAGGGCCCAGCCAAGGTGACATGGTTTAGCTTCTGTGACCCCAGGATTGCAGGCTTTGTTCACCTGTCTTCCTGCAGCTCCCTGCCTGGACCATGTCTGCTCCTGGAAGGGTTGCAAACCACAAGCACCCTAGCACCCTTCCCTAGTTATCGGCCTGGGGAGCCACATGGTCCGAGAGAAAGCCTGCTCTGTTTCCCTCCTTGAGGGGAGCTGAGAGAATTTCAGATGCATTCCCAGATGTCTTGGTGTTCAGAGGCCTGCTGATCGCCAGGCCAGGCTGCCTGCCAGGTCGATGCTAATCTGATCTGACCCATCCAAATCCAATCACACTCTGCAAACTTGGGCTGAGCATCTCCTCAGTGCTAGGCCAGCCTGGACACAATGGGGAAGACAGGCTCTTAGCTGCCACATCGACTGAATCGATCGATTGATTGAATGGTATTGCTGCGTGTTGTGTGACTGTGTGTAGATTATGTCACTATTGAGCCTCCATTCACCTGTGCAAAGTTAGACAGTTGTGGTCCTGCCTCCTGGGTGCTCCCTCTGTGTACAGCCTCCTTTTCTGGGTTAAGTGAAGACAAGGCTGGCCCGGGACCTCATCCCGGGCAGGAGGGAGCCATGGAAGGTTGTTACTAGAGAGGTGACATGCGTATGTCAGGAGGACCTCTGCATGCTCTGGAGGGACAAGGTTCCAGGCCAGGACAAGGGAGAAGGTGCCATGGTATCCTGACAGGGACGAAGGAATGGTTTGGAGGGCAGCAGCTTGGGTTGGGCATCTTTTTACAGCTTCCTTCCAGACTTTTCTGGAAGCTGTGATGTGTGGGCTGAGGCCCTGACCGTACTTCCATCTGCTTTACCCTCTTAACAAGCCCAAGAAGAGGTGTGACCAGGTCCACCTTACAAACCATGTGTGGAAGTGGGTCAGCATGGTGGAAAACATGCCTGGTCACACCCTGACCCACTGCCTCCTTCCCTTGCCTGCCTGGGATCCTTTGACAGGCCCCATGGAGCTTCCCCACCAAAACCTATCTTTCCCAAAGGCCTGCTGTCAGCCTAGGAGATGGCTTCGGGTGCACACAGAGAGGCAACAGCACCCTGCCTGCCACACTCGCTCAAGATAGGTCTGGAGCCCCTGCCCCTCCACAGAGTTGGAATGTGTTTTCCCCCAGGATAGTTGCTATGGCAACTTCATCCATAGCATCACTTTCTGAGTTCTTGTCTCAAGCCCAGCAGGGAACAATGGCCTTGCTCCCCTCGCCTACCCAACCCCCACACCAACTCCAGGAGGGAAGAATTTGTTTCCCCTGTGAGTTCGAGGCCAGCCTGGTCTACATAGTGAGTTCCAGGTCAGCTGGGGCTACAGGGAGATCCTGTCTCAAAACAAAGCAATAACAAAACAAAGAAAAGAAAAGGAAGGAGCCTAGAAAGAAGTTGGAACCCAAAGGTGTTTCCACAGCCCGGAACCACCCTAGCCAAGCAGGGAAGACTAAACACAGCTCACAGACTTGGAAGGAACCAGGAGCTGTCAGAAAGTCTAGGTGAAGGGAGGTACAAGGGCAGTTACAGGGGCAGGGCTGGGGAGGAGAGAACAATGAGGAAATCCCCTGGTGGCTGCCTGGGAGCCAAGCTTTGTACCAACCTACAGAACTACCATCTTGCTAACTCCCCAGGCCAACCCTGGAGGGGTTGTCACTAGAGGCCCTTCCCAGACAAGAGCATCCCCACACGGGCTGATCACTGAGCCAAGGTGAGGGAATGGGTCATGGAACAGACCAGAAACCAAATGAGATGGTTATACTTCTGGGCTGCCAAGCTTGCTGCGGGCAAGGACAACCAGAGCCACTGTTCACTCCACACCAATAATCTCCTTGAGGCCCAGGCTGGCTCTTTGAAGCAGAGGATGTCACTCTCACTCTGTAAGTGAGCAGAGTGGGGCAGAAAGGCTCAGTATTTTGCCCAAGAGGCACAGTAAGGAAGAGGCAGGCTGTAAACCATGCTTGACTCAGAATCTGGCCTCCCAGAGGATGTGGGTGCCTACAGGGGGCACTCAAGGTCCCCCTTGTAGCTGCCTCTCCAGCCTGTCTCTATATCTCACCCAAACCTGCTGTGCTGGGTAGCTTTAGTGTCAACTTGACACACCTGGGTGCAGGGAGCCTCAACTGGG